GACTTGAACAGGGGAGTCCAGTTGCTACGCTTGGAGCCGGATTAGCAAGCTGGGATTTTGAGCAGGGGACACTGGACCCGCTTTCCAGAATGAGTAGGGGTGGGACGAGGAAGGGATCTCGTCATAAGCTTAATAAAATTGAAAGCTGATGCTGCCACGATAACACCGGGGGTCAAATTGTCAGGTCCCCAGCCTCGTTTTGTAATAAAAAAAAAAAAAAAAAAAAACAACAACAACAACAACAACAACAACAACAACAACAACAACAACATTGAAAGCTTCCAGCCTTCCAGGTGTATCAAACGGGTCGCGAACTTGGGCGACGCAGTTGCAGGGGGGTGCTTAGGCCCCACATTACTCTGTCCATCAGGATTTGAACCCCTCCTCCCTGCCTGGGTGACCCTTGTGGCTGAATGGTGCAGACATGGATCTAGTTTGTTTCTTTCTTCTTTCTCACAGACGTGGAGCTGTTGGAGTCGTTTCTTTCTTTCTTTCTTTCTTTCTTTCTTTCTTTCTTTCAAAAAGGGTTACAATCTTGGAATCCTGGAAGAGAAAAAAATGACACTTGGGCAATGCAGTTTCAGGCGGGCTTTAGGCCCCACATTTACCTTGTCCATCAGGATTTGAGCCCCTGTTCTGTTCCTTCCCAAGCTTATAAGACAAATTTTGTGTACCCAGCCAGCAGGAGCTTTTATTTCGAGAGACCAATAAGCCACTTGGGGGGGAGGGTCTCTTGAGATATACACCACCCATCTCTCGCGTGGCATGTGGTTGGGCCTTTTCTCATCGTTTAAAAAATTCTTACTACAGTCTTTGCCGGAATAGAATTCCCGGTCGTTATAGCTGTATTTGGCCCACCTTTCAGTCCAGATGCAGCGATAATGACCGGGCATTCTATTCGGAATGTCTCTGACTGTATAAATGACATCATCAGTCCGTAGGAGCCTCTCTTTCGGATGCCCTTTCTTCCCTACCCTAAAAAGCATGAACCGCCACGGACACAAAAAGAAGACAAAAAAAGAGAAAACCCCATTACCAAACACTGCCAGCCTTTCTAAAAAAGCATGCAGCGCCACGGGCACAAGGGCCAAAAAAAAAAAAAAAAAAAAAAA